GCTTCTACTGAAGCCAGTCCCCAACTCCGGGGACTTCCGGCCGGGGACTACGGGTGGCAGTATACGGCGTGAAGTTGTTTGCGGCCTGCAAGTAAGCCCAAACCAGAAGAAGAAGTGACGTCAGCGGCTTCATTTGCCTAATCCTCCCACAGGGACTTATTCCGGTGTGAACGCGATCTGTACTTAGTTCATGAGAACTAAAGAGTTCTCATGAACTAAGTTCTCATGAACCTTTGTGGGAAAAGTACTGCGGTGTGAGAGCGCCTATAGACACGAGTCACGCAACACCTCCCGCCCACACAGCGGTGCGGCCTAGGTACAGCCATGGCAGCAAGTAAATAATTAACGATTATTTTATAAATCCAAGTGCTTGGTCAGCCGGCATTTACTTATTTGACAGCCTTTTCATTGCAGCTGCCAGCAGGCCAGCCTTGCTCAAAGCCCTGCCAAAAGCATCAGTATGCCAGCTTCATGATTGCTCACTGCTGTCTCCTGGAATATATGGTACATTATCACAAAACCTTGTAACTCCACTGGACATAACACCCAATGCTTTTAGTCAGCCAGGCCCGGGTGAAAGACCCCATCAAGGTTGTTGATAAAGACCTGTGGCTGCAGGGGAGTAGACCTGTAACCTTTATGTTGACGGAGAGTATGAAGCACCATTAAAGCACCCTCTCACCACACCTCTTCACTTCTCAATCTCTTCACTAAGCTCTTGCTGCTGACTTTAGGTGTTACCATACAGTAGTTCATCTGAGTAAGGCTGCTCATTTAATTTATCCCATTAAATGTGTTTTTCTGTCGGTTTCTTTCAAACATGTGCCAGTTGAATTTAATTGCCATAACTATTTTTTACTATTCTGCTTTAGTAATCTTTCATCAGGGAACAGGGAATAACTTAAACTCTCTCCTCCATTTACAGGGGACATACTGTGCTAATTTTCAGGTTGATTATTTTGGGCTTCACCTAGAACATGTTTAAATGCTTTAATGTAAAAGAACAACAAGCAACACTACGTTTCTCTAACTGGCTGTCTGATAAACCTGTATGTACACCGTCTGAAATGCTCAGCTTTATCTGTGCTTCTCTTTAAGCCTAGTCCGTCCTGATTGGTTTTCAAGAAAAATATCTTGATTTGTAAATAATAAATATAATTACAAATCAAGTTCTCAAACCCTGGGTCGAGACGCTCAGATGATCAACCTGAGAATGACATGGGAAGGGGAGCAACATTTGAGTGGTTTTCCATGATGTTTCCATGACAAGAGAACAAAATACAATTATGAAATGACTGTTGTAAATTATTCGCTATATTCACTTTTCTAATGCTTTCTCTATCAAGTGTTTCTAAACCTATAAATAAAGATTAGTTAATCAAACTAAATCTATGAGGGTCACTTATTCTTAGGCCAAAATCTATTTCTAGAAAACAACTAACAAAAAAGCAAAGAAATGGTTGTTTTGAAATGCACAACAGATCTGCAGGTGAACAGTTCATGCAATATCAGAACCTAGAAGGCGGTACCTTTAATCTCTCGCTGTGTGTTTAACTGAGGGTGCGTAGGAGGGTGGAGGAAGGTTGCTGCAGTCTTTGAAAGTGTTCTTGTCAGTTATGTCTGAGTAAGGAAAAAAGTCAGCAAAGGTCTTTAAGTTTTCTTAAGAAACTTTCCCCAGAGTTTGAAGGTCATTTT